TAGATTAGTAGATGCAATCCTTGCTTTTGTTAATGGTGGTCCTTTTGAATGGTTCAGTTTGTCCTAGCGCATTTGTATGTTTATGTCCTTCAAGTCCACTTGTAATTAGTTAACAGGCGGTAAGTGTAATTAATGTCACAACTAAACACCGTACCAGGCGAAAAATACGGAGGATGCTTGTGACTTTCAGGCGGTAATTGTAATTGGCGTCACAATCAAAAACTGTACCAGGCGAAAAATACAGAGAATGATTATGATTTCCAGGCGGTTATCATGATGAGTATTTCTAATTCCGTGTGAACCTTAGAAAAATTAAGTTAGGTTAGGTTAGGTTAGGTTAGGTTAGGTTAGGTTAGGTTGGTTGAAGTTAGGGTTGGGTTAGGTTAGGTTAGGTTAGGTTGGTTGGATTAGGTTGGGTTAGGTTAGGGATTTAGGTTAGGTTAGGTTAGGTTAGGTTAGGTTAGGTTAGGTTAGGTTAGGTTGGGTTAGGTTAGGTTAGGTTAGGTTAGGTTAGGTTAGGTTAGGTTCAGTTAGGTTAGGTTAGGGGTTAGGTTAGGTTAGGTTAGGTTAGGTTAGGTTAGGTTAGGTTTTTTTTTTTTTTTTTTTGGTGAAATGAATCTTCAATATGGATCCCTGCCTTACGGCTAGGTTTCGTTTGTTAGTTACATTGTTTGTTAGTTGGGGTGTTTTGTTTGGGTATTGGGTATAAAGATTCATGTTGGTCCATTGGACCTTACAAAATAATGGTATTGGGGTTAGTGTTTAAAATTTTGGGTTAGTTATGTACAATGTTTGAGGGTGTCAGTGATTTGGGTTTAGGGATTTGGGTTTTACAGTATTTTTGATGTGTGATCTTTGATCGTGATTTATAATTTTGTTGCTGACTCAGGCAGCTCTTTGGTGATATCAATGATGTGGGTTAGTGCGATCATTGATGGGGTTACAGTGTTTGGGTAGTGGACATTTTGACATAAGGTATTTGATGTGGTGTTGTGGATGTGATATCGTTGATGTGGGATCTTTGATAACTTTGTGTTACTTGGTGTGTGTGATTGTTTGAGTTGGTGAGCTTGATGTTGTGTCTTTGCTATGCAGTCTTAGATGGTATGTCGGTGACATGATATCAGTGAAGCGAGTTCGTTGATGTGATAGTTTTGTTGGGAATTTTATTCGATGATTAAATGGTTTATTTAGCTCTTGTTTATTGTGGTTAGTTGTTTTTATTAAGACTTGTTAATTAGGTTATTTTTATCTTTGGTTTTGTATAATTTTTGGGTTAATGATAATAATTTTATTAAGGTTTTATAATTTGTTTTGTTTTGTTTTTGTTAGTGATCCTGTTGCTGTTTTCCTATGGTTAGTTTTCCTGTTGATTTCTATTTGTGATTTGTTATGATGGAGGGTGTTTATTTGGGGTATGAGGGTGTTTGTTTTACTGTTGTTGATGTTGATGAGATGAGTTGAGTGATGGTACCAAAGTTGTTGTTTTAGCGGGTTGAAGGGATCGGTTCAGAGTTCATGGTCTGATTCAGCTGATGCTCGTTTTTCTTGGTATTTAGAAGATATTTTCTCCAGGTTCCTAACGATATAGCTGCTGGCTTTGTTCAGTTTCCTTATTTTATCTTCGGCTCGCATTGATTTTGCTAAGAGGTTTTGGACATATGTTGACATGTAGCTCGGGACCATTTGGTTTATGGCTGTTAGCTTGTCTTGATCAGTTCCAATGTTGAAAATCGCTTTCGCCATCATATCTTCGTCTCTCTTGAATCTCTTTCTTTGCGTTTCCATTTCTTCCTGGTTCTCTTCTATTTTCTTCATCTTCGCGGCGACTTGTTCTTGTACAGTTGATACCATTTCTTCACTTAATTTGATGTAGGATTTGTGGGTGTTTTGGTCTTTTATTATATCTTCTGGTGATATTTCGAGGTAGAATGATTGTTGATTTGTTGTATCGGAGGAGTTTTGGGATGATGATGAATTGTCGTCGACTGTTTGGATTACTGGTGATGTTGGGTTGGAGGGTGTTGATGGTTTAACTAGTTGTTTTGGCATTTTTCACTTTTACGATGTTGTTTAATTTTGTATTTGTAACGTTTATAATGTTCACTTATTTGTTTAGGCACTTTGGTTGAAGGTTTGCACTTTTTAGTTTAAACGAGTTAACTTCGAGGTTAGTAGTGTTGTTTGTTTACGTTTTGTCATTGTGTTGAACTTTCAGTGACATGCGGTTCGGTCGAGGTTGTGAGATTTTGATCTCATTTCTTCAATGTCATATCATTGACCTCGGATTTGAGATGTTGCATCTTCGACTCGTCCCATTTGCTTTTTTGTTTGTTGAACTCGTTGTCTTTCAAATCTACTAACAGGTAATGTTGTTTGGGTTTAGGTTCGTTGAGGTGGTATTTGTTCCAGTGTTTCCCAATAGTGTTGCAGGTATTTGTTTCTATGTATTGGCAGTTTTGACTTTGACAGATCTTGTATCTCCGCGAGTTACTCGGTGGATCTTGGTACTTTCTTCTCCCTTTCTTGAATTGTTCTAGTACTAGACGATAACCGGTTTCAGGGTCGAAGCCTTTTGAATACTTTTCAGGGATGAAGCGGTAGATGTCTTTCTCAACGGAGCCCCAACCTTCGATGTTTATTCTCTCGTTGTCCTTTTCATCAAGTCTTTCTTTCTTTACATTTATTTGTACCTTTTGTGGAAGATGTCGTTTCAGGTTGTTGATCGGCTTTGGCTTTTTGCATTCGAACGTGTTGGAACTTTCACTCTTTTTGTTCACTGATTTACACATTTTACATTAATTGTTGTTTACTTTGCGGAGGAGAATGTTTAACTTGGGTGGTTACTAGCTGACTAGATTTTTCTTTCTTTTCTTTGCGGTGTTACTTTGGTTATTATCTTTTCTTTTCTTTCATTGGTGTTTTTGATTTTGAGAGATTTGGGTTTTGATTGATTGGTTGTTGTTTGTTAGAAGAGAAATTGGGTTATTTGGTGTTTTTGGGTTTGTTTTAATTTTATTGGAGTGGGTTTTGTTGTTTGTTGGTTGGGGTACATTTTGTTTATTTTTTATTAAATTTCGTTTTAATTTTGTGGTTGATGGGTTGTTTGGAGGGGTTTCAGGGTTAGAATTTGATTTGGGTGTTTTTACCAACTTCAGCGTTATGAAGAACAACTTTATGAAACTTTTGGTTTCTCTTTCCGACTCCTTTATGTTGATTTTTGAAGTGGTTCTCTATGGTCTGGTACTTCCTGGTTACAAATAGGCAATCGCCTATCTTGCATCTGAAGTAGTGTTTCAGACCATATTGAGCCATTTTATCTTCCATTTCGGGGTCTTTGAGAAGGTTGTTTTTGATTGTTTTCTTTAGTTGGATGATCTGGTCGTTGTATTTTGGGATTGAGCGGAGGATCTTGTTGTCTTTGGCCTCTTTGATACATGCAAAGAGATCATCTATTTGATCGTATTTGATATCGTCAAAGCTTATCTCTTTGGTTGTTGTTTCTTTTTTGTTGTCGACAACAATTTCTCCACTCGACTGTGATGATGACGTCTTGGTGTTGATGTTGTTCTTCCTTTTCTTTGGCTTTTCTTCTCTTGTTCGAATTTCTTCGGCCTTCTTCACCTCGGGTTAGGGTTGATTCTATTCTTGTTGTTGAGCGGTTGATCGGGTTGGTTGTTTTCTTTGCTAGGGTTTCTTCTTGGTAGATGTTTGGTTGCTGACAGGCGATTTGTTTACCACTAGGGGAATCGGTTCATCTACGGGAAATATTTGGCGGATTGGGTTTGATTTTGATTGTCTTCTTGGTCGTTTGTTTACTGGGTCGATGGTAATTCTTTCATTGAGAGTTGATGTTGATGTTGTCGAGCCCGGTGGGGTTGGTGGTGGGGAACAATCTCTGAGATAGGAATCAAAGATTCTGTTGATCGGTGTAAATCTTGGGTCGCCAGTTTTGACTTTAATAACTTTCATTCTTTCAGAGGTAATGAGTGGTTTTTTCGGTAGAATTGCTGGTCTTGAGGGTGGTGAGTCCGATGTTTTATTTGCGAACTGTTTCACTTTGACGTAGAGGTTCACTAATTTGGTGAATATTAGTTTGCCTTTATCGTCCAGCTGATTTTTCACATATTCGAAGTCTCTTTCACTTGGCATTTTCACTTGATGGATGTTAATTTTGATGAGTAGGTGAATGATTTGGTTGGTGGGTTGTTGGTTGTTGTGAAGTTTTGGGTTTTTTAGAGTTTTTATTAGGTGTTAGTTTGTTGAGATACAGTATAAAATGATTGTTATTGTTTTGTTTTGTTTTTATTGGTGTTCTTGGGGAGGGGTTTCTTTTTTGCTTCTGCGTGTTTTATTGTTGTTGGTTAGTTTTTTTGGGTTTTTTGTTGATATCTTCGATTTATGATCTGGTGTTAGTGATCGACGGTTTTGGTCTCCGTGATCTCAGATCATTTATCGTGATATCTGATGATTGGCGGAAGTTTCTATTGGGCATGACAGAGAATTTTATTTGTTTACTTTTAACAGCTGATCTAACAGCTGATTGAATCGGAACCATGTGCAGTCCATGCTTCTTTGCTTAACCATGTGACTTCGTATTTCCTTGTGGTAGATTGTTTTCTTTTATTCTGAATCTGAGTCAGATTCTGGGCTGTATTTTGTTCTTTTATGTTTTCGTTTTTTGTTGGTGTTTTTTAGTGATTGGATTTTCCTTTTGATCTTGGCGAATTCTTTCTTTTGGATTGACCATTTAATTTCAATTTCTTGCTTCTCTCTTTTGGTGATTTCTTTTACTGTGTAAAGCGGTGGTTGACCCTCGTGGTAATTGGCGGTGTGTCTCTTCATGTTTCTCGTGTTCTCATCTTCTATGTAGTGACAAGCTCGTTGACACAGTCTAACCATGATCTTCCTTTCTTCATCTTCTGAGGATTCAGAGTCCGATGATATTTCCATGTCTTTACCCTTGTTTTTCTGATCTTTCTTTTTCGCTTGCTTTCTTTTTATTGATCTTTCTTCTTCTTTCTCTTCTTTTTCTTTTCTCTTCTAGTTTCTATTTCGGAATCATCGGAGACGGCAACTGGACTTTCGTTGTCTTCGTCCCAAGAGATGTTTTGTCTTTTCCTTTTGCCACTTTGAGTTTTCAATTTGTCTTTTTGTTGGTCTTTGGATTGCTCTTTGGTGGTGGATGGGGTTTTCGACTGCTTATTCATGTCCAATTCAATGAATTCCAGTTGATCCAGGTACGACTTGGTGTTTTCTTTTATTCTTTTAACTAATTCCTTTTGGTTTTCATTGTTTCTTAGGAGCTCTTTATACTCTCGCCAGATCGAATCGAGCATCTCAGCTGGTTTCTCGGGAAGAGTGTTTTTGATGGCAATCATTTTTTCTTCATCATCTTTCTTGGCGAATTCAGTTTCATCAATTGTAGGAATTGCTGGGGTTGGTAATGGTGAGATGTAATTGGCCTTGATGAAGTTTACCATTTGGTCTGATAAGCGAATGAATATTTGTCCACCATCGGCTGTAATAAGATCATTTGGTTCGATCGAAAGGAAAAGTTGTTGTGAATTGGGTGTCATTGGTTGTGACAGGGTGAAGTTTTCATCGTTTGTGATAACGTTTATGGTGTCTCTTATCTCTGGTTCTGCCAGTATCTCTGGGTGTTGTCTGAAGAGTTCTTCCATTTGGCCTGGTGTTGAATCTAATGATTGTTGTGATGAAGTGGTTTTCTTTGGTGATGATTTGGGTGTTGAATGTTTATTTTGGTGATCTGATGAGGTGTTTTGTGGGTTGTTGTGAATGTTTTTAGATGCAGTTGTTGATGGTGTTGATTGTTGAATTTGTTTTCCTTTCATGATGATTGATGGTTGGTCTATTTGATTGTTTTTGTTTATTGTTTTCACTTAGCACTCGGTCACTAAGCACTTTAACTTGGCACTTGGGGACACTGAGGTGAGTTTTTGGGGCACAGGTGATTTGTTGGTGAGGTAAGTTAGTCGGTGGGTATTTGTTTATCACAATTAAGGTGTTTTTAGGATGATTTAGATATTGTTAATTGTTTGTTTTTGTTTTTGTTTTAGATTTGGGCGGTTGAGGAACACATTTGTTTTTAACAGCTGATGTATTTGAATGCGCATGTTGGTTGTTTCTTTTGTTTCTATTTGTTGATCTGGTTGCTTGGATACGGTTACTAGGTGTCACTGATTGGAGGTCATTGATGTCATATCATTGACTTCGGAGTTTTGACCTGAGGTCGCTGGTTTATTCTTCTTTCAGGTTTTTGATTTGGCGGTGGATTGTATTGGTTAATGTTGTTTGTTATTTGTTTACTTTTGTTATTTGTGCTTTAGGGACATTTATGTTAGTGTGTTTTGGTTGGGTTGGTTTGATTGCTGTAATAGATATTTACATGCTTTTCTGCTGAATTGATTAAGGATTGACGTTCCTTCTGGTTTCTGGAGTAGTTCGGCTATTTCATCTGGGGTTGCGGTTCTTTTCATGAGGAGTGTTGCCCTTATGTTGTTAAATATCGGACATGTTGTGAGTATGTGTATTCCTGTTTGTGTTTCCCCACATTCGCAGTCTGGTGATTCTTTTATTTTTATTTTGTGTAGGAAACTGTACGTTGGGCCGTGGTTGGTCATTAACCATAGCAGATATTTGTTTATGTCTTTGGTCTGTATATTCGCCATTTTTTGTTTATCTTTGAATATATTCTGCATTGCTTTTGATGATTCTCCATAGAGACCTTGCCATTGTTGTTTTAACCATGTTTTTGCTTTGTGTTTAATTGTTGACAGGGGGATTTCTTCGTGGATCGGTTTTGTCTTTTTGCTGGTTGCTTCTTTGGCGAGCATATCTACGTATTCGTTGCCTGGATTGTCATTGTGGCCTCTCGTCCATGTGAAGATTATCTCTTGTCCTCGTTCTTGGATTTTGTTTATCTTTGATTTGATGTCTTGGCTCAGTCCATTTTTACTCTTTCTTTCTTCAATGGCTTGGATGGATGATGCTGAATCACTCATTATTCTTATTATTTTGTTATCTGGATTTGTTCTTATGACCCAGTTTAGTGCTTGGTCGATTGCTATCATTTCAGCTATAAATATTGTTGTGAATTGTGAAAGATGGAGCTTTTTCTCATATGTGATCATCCCTTGTGTTGACGCTGCGAAAGCGGCTCCCGTTCCTTGTTCCATCTTTGATCCATCAGTGAAAATTATCAATTCTTCATTTGTGTTTAGTGTTGACAAAGCTGGACCGTTTGGATTGTTTAGTGTGGGAAGTTGTATCCTTGTTAATGGTGTCTCCCATGGGGCTAATTTTGTGAACGGGTAGATTTTCTGCTCGATTTCTCTGTCTTTTGGGTTGAGTATCGGTGTTTCTCCTCCTCTTTGTGCGATGTGTTTGTATGCTTTTGCATGAATCTCTTTGGTTAGTGGTAGTTTTTGTGTGAGAATTTGTAGGTCCGTTAATTTTGTTGATTTGTATGCCCCGGTCATTAGTTGCAAAATTCTTTGTTGGGATTTGTTTAGGATTCTTTGCGCGTTCTTCTGTTGACTTGCTTTGTACCATATTTCGCATCCATAGGTTATTGTTGGTAGATAGACCATGTTATATATGAGGGAGGTTAGGTTTTTTGATGTGCCTTTATCTTTGTTCGCTAATGTTTGAATGATATTCATTATGTTGTTAGCTTTTTCAGATGCTTTATGGATGTGTGTTATCCATCTCAACTTGTTATCGACAGTGACTCCTAGTATTTTCATATTTTTTACTGGTGAAACTTCATTCTGGTCTAGTTTTATATTCCCAAGTAGATTATCTTTGCCTTTGACAAGCATGATCTCTGTTTTTTCGGGTGCTATTGCTAGCCCATTTTTGTCTGACCAGTCTTTAATCGCCTTGTATAGTTGCTTTATTTTGTTGATTGTTGTCTCATAGTCGGGTTCTCCGGTTATGATGATAAGGTCGTCGGCATATGCTTGAATGTGGATTCTTTCGTCTTTCTCAAGTTCCAGTAGGAGTTCGTTAACTACTATGTTCCAGAGTGTTGGAGATAGTGGGCTACCTTGAACACATCCTTTCGTTGGTGTTAAGCTATATGTTGATGTTTGGTAGTTTATTTTGTATTCTCTTTTTGTGAAGTAGTTTTCGAACCATTTTTCGTATTCTTTTCCTATTTTCATGTTCTTTATCGCTCTCAATATCGAATCCCAACTTAGGTTGTCAAATGCTCCTTTAAAGTCGAAGCCGGTGATTGTGACTATTTTGTTTTGTTTCTTTTTTGAGTTGATGTTGGTGATCAGTTCTTCCAATGCTGTGATTGTTGAGTGATTTGGTCTAAAGCCGTGCTGGTGCGGTGAGAGGACTTCGTTTTTAACGATGTGGTATGTGATTCTGTCGTTTACAATCTTTTCGAGGCCTTTACCTAACATGGAGAGTAATCCTATTGGTCGGTAGTTTTTGGGGTTTTCTTTTTCACCTTTCTTCTGTTTGTGAATTGGACAGATTGATGATTTTTTCCATTGTGTTGGCATTGTGCCCAGTTTAAGGCTTTGATTGTATATAGATCTTAATATTTCAGGGTTACTTGTTCGAATGTTCTCGCAGATTGTTGGGTCTAGTCCATCTTCTCCAGGTGCTTTTTTGATATTTACTTCACGAAATACTGAGGATAATTCTTGTTGTGTGATCGGTGTATAGTTGCGTTCGTTGTTGTGGTGTTGTTGGTGTGTGATCGTTGAGTTTTGTGTGTTTGGGTCATTGACCTCGTATCCTTGACTTGACCTTGTGGGGTTTTCGATATGGTGTCTTTGATCTTCAGTTGTTGATTCTTTTATCTGGTCTCCGTATAGTGCTTTTGCTATCATTTCCGCTCTTTTACTTTGGTCTATTGTCGCTCCTGTTTCATCTATTAGAACTGTTTCGACGTTGTTTTGTTGCTTGTTTTTGATTTTTGCCACTAGGGTCCAAATGGTGTTGATATCTGTTTCTTTTAGATATTCTTCCCATTTTGCTTTTTTGTTTTTCTTGGTTGTTTCTTTGAATTGTTGGGTTATTTCTTTAAGTTTTGTTGATAGTTCTCTAAATCTTCCTGTTCCAGCATTTCGCATTGATCTTTTTATTGCGATTATTCGTTTTGACAGATTTGCTAATTCGTCGGACCACCACCATAGGTTCTTAGCTTTGTTGTTTTCTTGATTCGTTTTCAGTTTCATGGTGTTTTTGCATGTTTCCTCGATGCATTGGTGGTATTTATCGATGATTAGTTGGAATGTTGAGTGGTTAGAGTTTGTGATTTCTTCTGCTGAGATGTTATGGTGGTTCAGTAGTTGATTTAAGGTTTCCTCGAACTTGTTCCAGTCTGTTTTCCTGTGGTTGTATTTTCTTGTTGATGGGTTTTGGTTGTTTGATGATTGTTGTTGATTTGTTAGTGACCAGCTGATGAGCGAGTGATCTGTATTTGCAATTATGTTTGGGTTGATTATGTAGTTTGTTGGTTTAGGCTGTAGTAGTCTCCATGCTGTGATGTCAATATTCGATTCTATCCTTCTCTCGTTTCTTACTGTTATGCATGTTGGTTGGTTGTAAGTTTCGATATTGAGGTTGTGTTTTGTGATGAATTCTGTTAGTTGGGTTCCACGGTTGTTGTTGTTGTTGTTACCCCATAGTTGGTGTTTGGCGTTTACATCACCTGCGAGGATGGTTGGTGTGTCCTCGTAGATGTTCAGTGTGGTTTCCAGTTTGTTGATATATTCATTTATGTGAAGGTTTTTGTCGAAGTATGAGTTGATTATTATGGTTTTCTGGTTGTTGATTCTGCATTCTGTGGTGGTGAGATCTGGGTTGGAAAGGTTCGGTATGAGTGAACAGCTGATATCTTTTGTTGTTATTGTTATGGTTCTTGTTAGTTGGTTGTTGATGTAGGTGAAGTATGTTTTGTATGTTAGTGGTATTCCATATGGTTTTCCTAATCTGTTAATTGGTGGTTCTTGGATTAGTGCAATTTTTATATTGTTAGATTCGATGTATGTTAGTAATTCTCCTAGGGCTTCGGGGCTTTTTCTGAGGTTTATCTGAATCATAGTGGTTTTGTTTTTAGTTTTATCTGGATCCATAGTCGGTTTGTTCCTCTATTCGTTTGATGAAATCTATCCTGATTGGGCATGTAGGTGAAAAAGCTGAATGATTTGTGTTGATTGATCGTGCTATTCCTCTTCTCGCAAATCTTTCTTGTTGTGTTTTGCAGTTGATGCATCTGTGTTCTTCCTCGTTTTCGACCATGCAGTTTTTATTGTTGTGTTCGGAGCTGGTGCAGTTTCCACAGGCAGGCTGATTTTGTGTTGTCTCACAGAAGCGGCCAGTGTGTCCGAAGGCACAGCATCGGTAACATTGGATGATGTTTCTTGATTGTTCAACTTTGTAGCTTTCCCAACCAATATGTGCTCTTCCAGTGTTAATTAGGAACCAGTATACTTCTGGTGGTGTTTCCAATATGACATGTTCTTTTTCTTGTGTACTTCGTAGTCTTATCCTTGTTTTAATTCTTATTTGATTTGTGATTTCTTGTGAGATGGAATTTTGATTGCATTTGTTGGTGATGTTTTGAATGATGATCTCATTAGCGATATCTGATTGTATGTTTTTGATGATGACGGATGGGAATCTTTTCTTCGCTAGTTCGGCTTTGAGGTCTTTGTTTGTTTGGTTGATTTTCTCAATCGCTTTTGTGGCTTCGGTTTTTGTTTTAAATTTCATTATTGCTCTATTGTTTGAGATTTTGTATAAAGCTTCTGGGTGAATGTTGTGTGTGATTGGGTTGATGGATGTTTTGATGAGTTTGACCGTTTCTCTATCCGATGGTTGTTGTTGTGCGATTATGATTGTGTGGACTTGTTTCGGTGGTATGTTTTCGATTTGGTTAGTGGGTTGACCGGAGGCGATGTTTGCCCAGGATTGTGTTGGTGCTTGGACTGTGTTTATTGTGTTTTTGATCTGTTCAATCGCTTCTTCGGTGATCTTTTCGAGACTTGTGGCCATATTCTTCGCGAACGATTGTGTTGTCTCTTTCATTACTTCTACCAGCTTTGTTGAGTGTTCCTTTTCTATCGAGATCTGTTCTCTCAGCCACATATTCTTTTCAATTTCGTGCGTAGATTTCTGTTCCAGAATTTCCTTTTCGGCTTGTGCGACTCTTTGTAGTAGGTAGTTGATGATTGTGGTACTATTCCGTAGTGTGTTCTCTATGCCATTTTTAAGTGTTGAGTTTATGTTTTTCGCTGTGGTGCTTTTTAGGAAGTTGTAGATGTGGTGACAGTCTTCTTCGTGGTTTTGGGCTGAGGTTTTAAGGGTGGATTCTTTGACGGGCGGAATTCTTTTATATGCTCTTTCTTCGTGTTCGGCCATTGTGGGTTTTATCCTTTTTCCTTTCTTGTTGCTGGATGTGTTAGGAGGTGATGGTGTGGTCTCAAGGTTTCGTTTTGAGGATGACGGGGTATAGGGCGTGTGAGGTCGGATCTGGGATAGGTGATCTGCTATGGGTGATCCCGTGTCCTCGATAGCGGCTGTCGTGTCTAGGACTTGACAGTCTTCGATATCGGTGGCACTAGAGTCCGTCGCGTAATCGGTGTGTTGTTGTTGTTGATGTTCGGGTTCGGGTTCTGATCTGCCACTTGATTTTTAGATGATGTTGAGGTTCTTTATGGTGTTGAGTTGTTGTTGATGATCTTTTGTTGGTTGATGATGAGGTTGGGTAGGTCGGCATGTGAATGACCTTGAGGGCGGTTTGGGGGTCAAAGGTGTGGATGTTGGTGGTCGGCTTTTTAGGCCTGATTTGGGGATGATGTGGTTTGGTGTTGATGTGTTGTGGTGCGAGGGGTTGTAAAATAGGTGGATTGGTGGACTGGTGGTGGTTTGTGGGGTGTTTTAGGGACACTTGGGTGAAGCGGTGAAGGTGAAGATGTTGTTGTTTTTTGTTGTTTGCTGAAGGGCTAAGCCCTTTCAGGTCACAACTTTGAGGGGTTTATAGATGGAGACTTGGGGTTTATTTCTCCGTGTTCCCCGTACCTTTAAACATAAAATTGATCACAATTTAAAATTTAAATATGGGTTGGGACACACGAAAAAAGGTCACTTAGGAGGAGCAAAAAACAAGTGATGTTACTCACTTGACACCTAGAGACGATGGTTGGTTAGGTTAGGTTAGGTTGGTTAGGTTAGTTAGGTTAGGTTGGTTAGGGCGAAATAGGCCAGGCCAGGCCAGGCCAGGCCAGGCCAGGCCAGGCCACAGGGC